AAAATACACAGAACAAAAGGTAGCACGAATGACCAAGATAGGCAATGACGACAAGAGGAAGTAGATAGTGCCGGCTACAAGAGGAACACACAGAAATGGCTATCCTATGATGTTGCTTAGTTACTATAAATGGGCAGCAGATTTGGAGCCAAGAGTCCTAGGAGCCACAGAAAAGAGAAGAACTAAGAGGCAGAAGGTGCACTTCTACTGGTAAGTCAGAAAAAGATCCATCTTTCTAATGCCAAGACCAGACGGAGGTAAGTGATCATACTTCTTCCTTGCTGGGCGTGTGGGCAAGAGACTGAATAAATGCTCTTCTGACATTTTCTCATTTGATCCTGGTGATCATGGGGGGCGGATACTATGATGGTGTTTATTTACAGATAAGGAATCAGAATTTTAGAGCAAGTTAGTAATTTTCCCAAGACCACACAATCAATTGTAGGCAGGGGAGTCAAACCCAGGCTATGGGTTCTATGTGCCAAACCAAGAAACGCACCCTGCGGGGCAGTGGGGGACCCTATGGGGTATTTCTGCAACAGAATTGTTTATAGGGCTGAGTCTCCTTGCCTCTTTCAATGCAATTCTTTAATATAGGCATGAAAGTGTAAGCAGCTGAAATTTAATTTGAAAGCATAAACGGTTGAAAGCAATTCCTTGAACTAACAGTTTGTTCATGTGCTAAGTTCTTTGGTGATCCAATGTTTTTCTTTGTGTAGATGTACAAACATTGCAAATCCTACCAGGAAGTAGGTTGACAGGAATTTTCTCAAACCACAGCGCGTCATTCTAATGCATCCCAAACCCACTCTAGTATCATTTACTAGACACCTGGAAGCTGATGTCTTTGGTCTCTCCACTCCTATGCCAACCTCTCCCCAGGAAGTGCAGCCAACAGAACACACAATGAAGACCTCTGTGAAGAACATATAGAGGACAGCTTCACCTGCCCGCAGGTCTTTTCTTCTATCCTGGACTTTGTGAAATGCCTTAGAACTGGGCATTCCCTCTATTTAAGACCTCATTCCATTCAGCATTTCTCAAAGTTCCGCATCCACCAGCCGCTTCAAGCTAATGCTGACCACCAATGTAGGTTAAAATTATCACAATTGTTAGTAATAAAAACTGTGCTTTTAGCAATAAACTCATATGCTTTTCCAAAGGCATTTTATTATGAAGAAATTCAAACACATGCAAGTAGAATAGTATAATGAACTTCTATGTACTCATTACTCAGTTTCAACCATTACTGACTCATGGCCAATCTGTTTCAACACTACCCCTATCCACTTCCTCTCTCTCATGTTATCCTGAAAGCAAACCCAGATATCATATCGTTCCATCCAAAAATATTTCAGTATGTGATTCTAAAAGACAGGAATCTTCTACCGTTGCCAAGACCACTGTCACAACTAAAACTATTCATAAGAGTTCCTAAGTACCATCAAAATATCAAACTGCCAAATATCTCAAAAATGTTTTTGTTTGTTTGAATAAGAACCCAAATAGGGCTCACACATTCCTAATAGAGCATTACTTTAAAAACAATAGTAATTTCATGTATTTGTAAGAGGACATTGTTTTCAATCTCTTCCCAAGGTATCTGTCCTATTTGTTCTGTTCTATTTGGTCAGGTTTCTTTACTCCACATGCCATTAGTTTCTCTCCTTGCCCTTTATTTTTACTAAGCTAAGTGATTCCAGGTCACTGGAAACAGCATCAAGTGTCTGATGTCTCTTTCCATTGGCTAGGGATTCAAAAATGAGAGATTTCTCAATGAAAACACATTTGGCCCTATTATAAAATATACTCAAGATCCAGGTGGATGCATGCTTTAACTTGGAAGGTGAGGGCAAAATGGATCCCCTCATCCACATGGACTGCTCCCAGCTCTGGAAAACGCTTGTCCGACATCACAGGTAGCTCTAGGCTGTGCCCAATAACACACTGCTCTCCCCTCCAGCGAAGACGAGGATCGGCTATTGGAAGAGCCCAGCTCCACTCAGAGCAGTCTGGGCCTCAGTCTGGTCTTAAGAAAACAACCTTCATCCACCATTGGTTACGCTTATATGCATGCATGGGGATGGCCCAGGAGAGGTCAATGGGGGAAAAGGAGACATATGTAATACTATATGTAATACTTTAAACAATAAAGAATTTTTTTTTTAATCTGATTTTTCAGCTAATTGTTTTCTCTTTTAGTAATAAGAGGCTGAGTTCAGCCTTTGCACCCTATAGGCAATGCCAGAATTAACAAGGTCTTTGAGGCAAACCACAGTGGATATGCCATGATGGGCAAAGGTGAGTTCTCATCCAAAATTGTGGGAAGGCCCTCTGATGGCAGAGGGGAGGGTGGAAGAGTGGGGTCAGACCATCAGAAAGAGCAGTTAGGAGGCACTAGAATGTCCAGGCAGAAAGTGACGTGCTAAGCCAGGGAGGAAGGGGGCACACCGAAGAGGAAAGTAAGAAAAGAGCAAAGCTGGAGACTGAGTGAATGTGGCAGATAAAGATGGAAGAGGGAGGAGTCTTTAGTGACATTCATGTTTCCAAGTCCAGCTCTGGGAGGCTGTGTGAAAATGCATTTTAAATACAAACACACACACACACACACACACACACGCACAGAAACCCTTTCCAAATTGTCCATGGTCCCAGGATGGAAACAGCCAGCTGATCTGTGAAGAAAATGTACCCTGTGTGAAATACTCTGTAGTTACAGCAAAGATTCTCAACACTGGCTGCACGTGAGAATCATCTGGGAGTTTAACGACAACTACGCCCAGGCCCCAGCTCAGGCAGCTGAATCAGAGTCCCTGGGTATTTTTCTCTCTCCCTCCGCCTTCCCCCAAGCACAGGTGATGCTGTTGTGCAGCCAGGGCGGAGGACCACGGAGCAGGGCTCTTGGCACAGAGCTGCAGGAGGAGTCATTGTTGGAACTGTTCACAGCTTGAGTTTTAATTTGGTTCAGCTCGCCCTCCCCCCCCCCCCCCCCACACACACACCCATTGCTCGGGGTGAGAGAAATAGCCTGACCTTTGAAACTCAGCTTTCTGACGAAATGAGGCTGGCAAGGGCAGCCTGGCGAGGAACAGGAAAGGAGGGAGCCAGGTGTCCAGCACACGTGCTTCCCCTCTGCCTGCGTGCGGAGACCGCGGTTCCTGCTCTCCTGCGCGTCACAGCCAAGCTGGGACCATTGCTAAATGCAGGTGCCTGGGCCCACTCCAGCGCTGGTCAGGTCCAGGGTGCGTGGCCCAGGTACCTGCATGTTAGTGGTTCCCAGGTGACCCTGTCAGAGGGTTCGTGGCACAAGCTGAGAGGCCTGCGGGGGGGAGGGTAGGGGGGGCACCACAGTAAACATGTGCAGAGCAGATTCCCCTCCCCCACATCCTGGCCCCAGGCCCAGGAGACTGAATTGGCAGGTCTGATTCAGCCACCAGCGGTCAGTGTTAGAACAGTGTTAGTGTGGCTCTATCCAGTTGTGTGTGTGTGTGTGTGTGGGGGGGGGGGGGGGCGAGGGGGGGGAGTGCACCTGCCCCAAGTTTTCATTGTGTAACAGAAGGTGGAAGGGAAGCAGGAAGGTCCCTTGGCTTGCTTACTCTGTGTCACCCAAAGGGAAGCCGGGGGGTTTTCCTAGCCTGACTGGGGGCCGGAAATGAGGGGCCGGAGGAGCCCAGGCAGCAGCTGCTGGCCTCTCAGGACTTCATTTCTGGTGAGTTTCGGGGTGAGGCCTATGGCCCAGCATCAGCATCACGTGTGAGAATGCCAGCTCCCGGGCCCCACGCCTCCTCGCTGGACCGGACTCTCTGGGGGTGGGGCCCTGGATCTGTCAGAACAAGGCCCCAGCGGGTACTGATGCTGCGCAGGGTTGAGGACCCTGCCCGGGAGGCTCAGATACTTCCTGCTCGGGGGCTTAGGGAAGGCTCCCCACCTCTCCCTCCCGCCCCGCGGGGACGGGGAGAAGCTGCACAGCATGCCTCCCCTCTCTCCACTGGTTACTAGGAGGTGCTGAGTGACACACAGGCCACACGGGTCAGGGGAAAGGAAGCCAGGTTCCGGGCAGCTGCCACCTGCCCTGCTGGCTGCTCTCCCAGCTGACGCGGCTTTGTTTTTCTTTCCTCCCAGCCTGGAAGGGGTGCGGGAGGAGCTCTCTCTGTGTGCCTGCCTAGTCCCTCAAAACCGAGGCAATGCAGCTCCAGATGCCCAGGGGCCTGGTTCCACTGTCCTCCCTAGAGACCTGGGAGTAGGACTGAGGCTCAGGGCCACGTCTCCACACTCCTCTCCTCCCAGCCCAGTGCTTCCCTCGGGCGGGCTGCAGCCCCAGGGGCTGCGTCCTGGACCAGGACAAAAGACCTTCTCTGAAGGGGTCACAGTTCTCACCCACTCCTCGGGATGGGTGCTAGCCAGCCCGGGCTGCCACCACGAAATGCCAGGCCGGGTGGCTTCAGTACCAGGCATGTGTCTCTCTCAGTTGTTGGCTGGAGAGAGGCTGAGGCCCAGGGCGAGGATGGGCCCAAGGGATTAATTAAATAAGATGAATTAAAGCTACCCAGCCCTCCTCCCTTCTCCAGGCCCAATGGACCTCCTCCCAATATTCTGATCAGACAGCAGCACTGATGCGCTCTAAACAGGAAGTCCCTGGGATCCGGACTAATCCAGCCCAGTTGTTCGGGTTCACTACAGTCTTTACATGTGTTAACAAGAGCTCACAACATGGAAGCAAAGATTTGGGGCATCCTTGGGTTACATTAAAAGCGCAATTTCCTATTTTCTTGTCAAATGTCTTTACTTGAGGCAACAAGTGAAATATAATTTCACTCCACAGGAAATATCACGCTTGGAGGGAACACAGAGACAGACACACACCTTAAAGCCAAACATTCTTTCCACGGCCCGGCGCTGACATTTCCAGACCGACAGCCGGAGGAGCGTTTCCGTGAGACAGAGCTGCGCGTCCAAGTCCGGCGCGGCGAGCCCTCCACCTCGGCGCCACTCCCCCGGGCTCAGGGCACGATGCTCGTGGCCTTCCTCAGGGCCAGGTAGCCGGTGACCACGTCGGAGGGCAGCCTGCGGATGTAGGAGAACTCTTCGATGGAGCTGAAGCGCAGCTTGCTCTGCGGGTCCGTGTAGTTGGCCTGGGGAGGGAAGCAGCACAGGGAAGGGCAGAGAGTTGGTGACGGTGAATATTTTAAGTTCAAGTTTAATTTTTTTTTTTTTCCCATTTTACAGAAACTGACATATATCTTCACCCTGTCTTACTCAGTCGCCAAGAACACTAAATTGCACACTCTGGCGAAGACGTCTTAATCTCCCCAGACTTAAGGCTTCTGGGAATGAATGGGAGGAAGAGGAGTAACCACATCGGATTCTAGGACTCTTCTGGTCAGTGCCTCAAGGGCTACGAAACTGAATTCATGCTGATCATCTCTGCCTTCAATCTTCCTCCTGCTTCAAACAAAGGCGCAGACCTGTTCCCCAGGCAGGGAGCAGCAGCCCCATGCCCCTCCCTGCTGCCCTCCGCCTACCGCAGGCATCCCTTTCCCCCCTTCCTCGCCCTCCCTGGGCCCCATGGCAGTTCTGGGCTGGCCACTAGCATCCACGCTTCCACCAGGAGGGACGGCCATCCTACAACTTGCAGCTACAGCCAGGCTCATCTCTGCAACTTGCAGTTCTGATCATGTCCTTTATGGAACCTCTCAGTGGCTCCTCTGTTTTTGGGACGGAGGCTCCAGTCCTCAGCTTGGCTCCTACATCCCTGCCGGCTCTTCCTCAGCTACATGTCCTCACTCGCTGTCCCAATTCCCAGGCTCCGAGTCTCCCCATCCGGTGATGCTCCATTTTCCCTCTCCTTGGCAGAGGCCCCCACCTTGGCTCATTGTGCTCAGTAATCATCTGTTCATCCTATAGGACTCAGCTCCCAAAGTCTGGTCATCAGGGAAGCCTTATCTGCCCCCAACAGGAAGTCAGGCCCCCATCTTCACTCTCACCTCACCATACGTGTCCCTTGTGGGATGCTGATCATTATTTCTTTTACATATATTATCTGCAAGAGCCTCTGATTAACGTCTAAGCTCTGAGGCTCCCTGAGGCAGGAACCCTGTAGTGTGCTTATCACAGAATCCTGGCTCCCAGCACAAGGCAGAACATAGGAGGCCTTCAGTCAGTGTTTGTACAGCAAATGATGAAAGAATGAGCCACCGAATGGACGCTCAGGACCATCCCAGAAAAGAGAACCTGTTCCCCTCTGACACACCAACATTCCCTGTTGGTCTGTTTCCCCATGTGCAGAGTGGAATCTAATTCATCCGCTATACAGCTCAAGGCACATGGCTTCTACAGGTTTTGACACAGAAGACATAAGAGTGAATCATCTAAACGGAGCTCCTTTAAGAAAACGATGCGATGCCATTCAAGTCTAGACGCATAACATCCCGTCACTCCAGTGTGAACGGTGTGCTCTGGAGTCCATCACCTCTGTGGGCCTGGATGCAGCCATGCTGCTTTGATCAGGGAGGGTGTGAAGGAGCTACAGGCCGCAGGGAACTGAGGTTTCTCACGTGCTAAGGCTCCAATTCTGCCATTGGGATCTCCTTAGGTATTTAATGGCTTCCCGTCAGGAAAATGAGATTATTTCTAAAAAAAAAAAACTAAGACTAATTAAAGCTCTATAAGAAACAAAGCTTTGATCCTTTGGCTCGATCGAGATACTGCCTTTCTGTGACACTTGGAAGTAATGAAATGTAAGACAGTAACATAAAGGAAAGCTTAAATAGGAAGGCAGCAGCAACAAGTCCCTTCCGAGGCTCCCGGCCATGAGCAGTGAGAGGAACGGACTGGCAGGGGAGGCTGCCTGCCTGCAGCTCCCAGCAGGGGTGCATCTGGCTTTGATCATCCGGCCTCCATACGCGAACCAGCCCGGCCTGGCTCCATTCCTGTGGCCACCTCACTCCTACCACCACGCTGTGCTGAGCCGGCCCGCCCAAGTTCAGATCCACTGCCAAGAAGGCTGCTGAATAGCACAGATCCTGTGACACCAACACGGAGGTCACCGACGAGAACTTGCACAGAAGGCACCTGACCTGGAGCTCTGAACGGAGGGGCGGGTGCCGAGCACCCGGCACAGCGGAACCAGTAAAGAACTGCACTCCCAGTCAGAACCTCCTCCGGGTTCCACCACGGGCGCCTGAATGAGACAAAGGCCAGCTCCCTCCCCACCCCACCCCCCAGGTCAGACAGCAAACAGATTTCAGGCCTTCCCCGAGGCGGGGTGACCGCAGTGCTCCCTGCCCCCCACCTCTCCCAGAGCTGTGCTTTCCCCAGCTGTGGAACAAGGGCCAGCTAAACACAGATGTGACCCTGCATGCCCCCTGCCCTGCCCACACGCAGGGAAACAGTTGCTTGGCTGGCTGGGAAAAGGTGGGTCAGTACAAACATGAGCTGGGCTTATTTTTTAATTATGTAACTTTAATTTATACAAGAAACAGATGAACATAGTTTCCTCTAAAAGGGAACAGAAAAAAGACAACGTTTCGAATAAGACTGAAGTCCCCTTCTACCATCCCAAGTCCTTGGCCTTCCCCTGAGGACACCGCTGATAGGTGGGTACCTTCCAGACCTGTGGCCGTATACCTCACGCAAACATAAACACACCAGAGAAATCACTCATATTTTTTTCCGTAAGCACGTGCTGATTTTTACTTGGGTGGTACAGTGCTTCCAACATTGCTTTCTACCTTTCAGTAAACAACGTATCTTGGAAGTTAATCCTCGTTGTTACATACAAGCTCACAGACTAGGATGAAAATACTCCCCTTTCTCCCACTGATTGACCTTTATGCTGTCTCCAATATTCTGCTAATCCATTTCCTCCCAAACATTTCTGCACGCAGCTCCTTGGGCACTGTTTCTAAGGGAGCCGGCTGGAAGGCAATGCCGGATCGCAGGCTTTGCTTCTTGGTCTCAGTAGGCACTGCCTAACTGACATCCAAAGACGCAGTACCAATGTAGGTTCCCACCTCAAACAGCAAGTGAATATCCATATCCATATCTTTTCCTAATTATCAATGAGCATGAATATCCATTTATGGGTCATATGTATCTCCTCCTTGTAACTGTCTTTTAGCCTTGTCTTTCAATGATATGGGAGAGTTCTTTAAATATTCAGAATTTCTTGAATCTTACATGCATTGGGGCAAGAGGTGTTGGGTTTTATGTAACATGGTAAGTCCTATGCCAATGGCACAAAGGAGCCTGGAACAATGATTCTCACAATGATTTTCGTGCCTCCTAATGTGTGAAAAGCATTGTACAGCAGATGAGCTGTATGATAATGCTGAGGGTAAAGTTACCTTTTCTAAGGGACCACCCTCCGAGTCTGGCCATGATCCATGGCTTCTACAAGCTCAGCACAAAATGGGACAGGGAGAAATTTCCACTTGGGCCATAACAGAATAACTGGTGCCAAGCTAGTTCTTCTGCAATAAACAGCTATTAAAAAGGGTCAAGTACATGAGGCAACTATTTTCAGGTAGTAAACAAGAGACAGCATAAGGCTACATTTCTCTCAAAGTGAATCAAGGTGAAGTCCCATTAGGGAACCTTTAGGAGGAGATACATGCCATGAATGGATACAAAAAGAACCCAGCATGCACACACATGGGCACACGTGCATACACACGCGTGCACACACACACCACATGTACACTCAAGAAGGTATGCTCCATTTTACAGCACCTTCTACTTTATCAGTTTTTTTGGAATCACTGTATTTAAGTTCCTATGTTAAAAAGTTTGTAATACAACGAGGAGTGTATGCTCTCTGGAGGAAAGCTAAAACATATGACTAATTCAGAGTACAGATAATATTATTTTCAAAATTACAATAACAACTCAAATCCTTACCAATGGAAACTGTGTATCATTTAGTCAGTTTGCTATAGAAGCTGGAACCATACATTTTCATAAAAACGTAAAGCATTTAAATGATTCGGATGAGTTTTTAAAAGTGCAGTGACCAACTAGTTCTCCAGTCAGGAAGAAAAGCCCATTTTCCGAATTGAATAGTGCTGAAAAAGAATGAAGGTGAGCTGAAAGTTCCACACTTCATCTACTTTCTGAAAAGGAGATGAGGTTCCCTGAGGTTTCTGAGGGTCAACGACTTGCCTAAGTCCCCCTCATCCTACCACGGCTTTCCAACTGTGTTCCCAGAAGCACTGAGGGGGTCACTGTGGTGGGCAGTGGGGAGGACAGAGGACCAGACCCACACAGTGGGCTCCAGGGGATTCTGTAAAGGATTTCATTTGGAAAAGGGGTCTGGCGCTTAAAACTATGTTCAAAAACCACTATCTTTACCATAGTGCCTCTTTAGAGAAGTTTAAATATTTTTTTAAGAGAGTACAGACCCTCAAAAATGCAGACTCTTTTTTAAACTTGAGTACTATAAAAGTTTGTGGGTTTTGTTTTATTTTTTTCATGTAGTTAACATGATAATATATGAAGCATCTTTCATATAAATACAGGGAAGGGAAACTTGGGTCTCCTTTCTGGAGCAATCCTCTCTCCAGACTGCACACAGGATGCCCAGGTAGGTCACAGCCGCTCTGAAATAGACATGTGAACCCTCTGGCACAAACCCATTACTTATTCAAAGTCTATGGGCTCCAGGCAGCACCAGTGGTGGCCAATACTGAACACTGTATAAGTAGACAGTGAAACCTTCCTTTCAATTCCATATTACGAGGCATAGAGACGTAATTATACTCACAAGAAGACCTGAAACATCAGAATACTTCTTAGCTGGTTTGAAGGATGGAGGAGCATCAATACTGAAGTCTGCAAAGAAAGAGAAAAGAAAAAGAAGATAACTAAACGGAGTTTCAAACATTCAGCTCCCTTCCAGCCCGGGGGCTAGCTTTGCCCTGCCCCCAGGGACCACCACTCTAGCAGAACCACAGGGAAAGCTCATCTGCCCACAAGCCATTTCACCGTCTTGGGATACATGAGCCGAGGGTGATGAGGTCCCAGATGACCCACTGCTTGGGTCTCAGCATCCAGATATTGGAAGGTCCACACCCAGACAACGGACTAGCTCGCTTGTCATCATCTGAGTCACCCCCCCTTTCTATCACCCCCATGAAAGATGTGCAATGGGCAGGAGCTAAAGGAAACTTTTACCTGTACTTTCCAATGAAGCTGAACAGAACAGAAAGCAGCACTTTACATAGATTTGGAAATGCTGTAGCCTAAAGCATTTACTCTGGAAAACACCAGCTCAGAGAGTAAAACAAAGCTTGCCTTGAAGCTGGTTGTGAAGAAACCTACTAAATCTGGGGCAACCTTGTTCTTGCAAATAACTTTTAAGAGTAGACTTCTGGATAAGAAGTTTGTCAAACCAACATTATTATAGCAGGACTTGTTTCTCCAGATTGGCATGCTAACAGTGACATTAAAAACCACACATCCATGAGAACAGAGTACAGATACAGTTAGGAGGAAAGATACACAATCTCCCTGTAGTGACACCACTATAAAACTCCTATGTTAAAAATTGTTTCCTCCATTTATGCAAACATAGTAACGCAGGTTTGTTGTAAGAAAGCTCCCAGTGGAAACTTTATACACTCAAAGAAGGTGCTAAACAGCTCACAGTTAGGATCATTCAGTTGCCACGGCAACGCCCTTTCAGAAGCGAGGATTTGTTTCAGGTTCTTCCAGGTTCTATTCTTCTTGCCAGCGACTGCGCCACCATGGCCAGAGTGCTGGGAAAGGAGGGACAAAAATCAACGGAAAGTACCATTTCAGAATGTGACATGTATGCTTACTCATTACTGTACTATGCCCCTCATTCTGTCAGCAATCATTTGTACCCCTAAGCCTTTTTAAATTTTATATATCTATAAATCAATTATATATATATATATATATCAATTATATAAAAATCAATTTTATATATATATATATATATATATATATAAAATTGATTTTTTACAGAGAGGAATAGAGAGAAACATCAATGAGAGAGAATCATCGATCAGTTGCCTCCTGCACACCCCCCACCGGGGACATGCCCGCAACCAAGGTACATGCCCTTGATCGGAATCGAACCAGGGACCCTTTAGTCTGCAGGCCAACGCTCTATCCACTGAGCCAAACCGGTTTTGGCACCTCTAAACCTTTTTTAAAAAAGCATTACACTGTGCCCTTTAATCTTCCTTATAAAAAACAATGCTTTTGGGTTGTCAAAATCCATGAGTTAGTTGGTGATGAGGTAGAAATAATAGATTATGTTTTTACAGGCACCCAGAAAATCACATCCTTTATTGGGTCTAACTTTATAGAACGAACTCAGGGATTTCCCATTATTTTAAAAAATAAATTTACTACAAAGTTAGATTCAAACTCATGACCACATCTCTAATCTCCCTTCTGAGGACAAGTCTCTGCCTTGCAAATTGCTGGCGATGCTGGAAAACGCAAGTGTGCCTCACTCACATGGTCCGACATGACCAGGAGAGTGGGGCCCGTGTTACGTCAAGGCATGGCATGCCTTCTGGAAACTTTTCTTCTTTCTGTCCTATGAAGATGACAAAATAAAATGGGAAAGGGGAGCAAAATCTGTTGCAGGCGCTGGCAATACTGTATTTTAAAAACGAATGGGGGAAAACAACTTTTATGTATAAGCTGAATCAGTGTAATTAAGTCCCCTGAGAACAACAGGGAAAAGTAGCCAGTTTCCACTTTACAATTGCTTAAAGGATGGGCCCTTTTTCTCCTGCCCTCACCCTTCCCACAAAGCCCAAGACAGGGAAGGTGGCACCATGGAGAGAAGCGGACACCAGTGTTGCAGGCCCAGCACGGTCAGAATCCAAAGGATGGGTGTTTGGTTTTTAATGTATCAAATACCGGAGATGCTTACCACAAAGTTGGGATCCTTAAATGGCAAAGGTTTGGAAGTTTTTTCCATGGGTCCAGTGGTAAAGTCAGAGGGCACCATTTTATTCTCACTCATGGCTTCCATGCTGATACCCTGAAAACACAGTAAGAATAGTGGGTCAGTATCTGTTAGCTGAGTTCCCTACCACAGCTCTCAGACATAAGATGGCATCACAGGCCATGCAGGGAAGACGGTGTGCCCAGAGGCTCAGGAGGTGGCCTGCAGCAGTGGAAGTCCTTCTGGACTGGCCACTGCACCTGCTGTGCAGAAGCCACAAGAGACCGGGAGAAGCCAGGACCCCAGCTGCCATGCTTTCTGGTTCCACATGTGCCAAGCACAGGGATGGGTGTCCTGCCCATGCCGGCTCATTTAACTCTGACAACCAATACAAGGCAGTGCTGTTGTTATTCCCAGAATATAGAAAAAAGCAGGCTCTCCGTGACACCACATGGGCCCTACTCCTGCTGATCATGTCAAACTATGTCTTGAAATATTAAGACAAAAAAGGTCCAGCCCCTTTAAGGCTAGGGCTTCATATGCTTAAGGGGCACAACAGGATGTGGGCATTCTGAGGAAGGAGAAGAGTGGGAGAGGAGGCTAGTCGCTCAGCTGGCTGCGGCCAGAGTGACCTGACAAGCAGGCTAATGTGCTTTAAAACAAAAAAACTTTTAAACTAAGAATCACAAAGAAAAAAAACAAGACAAAGTAAGAAATAACTTCTGATTTGTAATGCAATTTCTAATCTTCCCAAATGGCAATAAATTGTTTTTAGATATATAGTTTACATGGCGTGAAATGCACAGAACTTAAGCGTAGTTTTCGTGTAGTTTCCTGGGTTTTGCCAAATGCTTACACTTGTGTAAGCCGTGCCCCCATGGAGGTAAGAGAGCATTTCCATCATGCCAGAAAGTTCCCTCGTGCCTCTTCCTAGCCTGTACCTTCCATCCTCAAGGACAACCTCTGTTCTGGCTTCCACATTACTTTTGGCTGTTCTAGAACGGCATGAGTGGAATCTGAAGTATGTACTGTTGTGTTTGGCTTCCTTAGCTCAGCATAATGTTTCTGAGATTTATCCACACTGCTGCATGGATTAGTTCATTTCACTGAGTTTATACACTACTCAGCAGAGTAGTACTAGTACTCTACTATATGGATGTACCACAATTTGTTTACCCATTTTCCTGTTGATGAAATAATAATAAAAAAAGCTGCTATGAAATATCTGTCCAGCCTTTGTGAGGACGTGTGTTTTTACTTCTCCTGGGTAAATACCTAGAGGTGGAATGGTTGGGATGTAGGGTAAGTATATGCTTAACTTCGTAAGAAACTGCCAAATCATTTTCCTAAATGGTTGCACTCTTACATTCTAGCAGCAGTGTAAGAATTCCGATGTATAAATATATATTTCACCTTGCCACCCCCACGACCCCCCACACTTCCTGCAATGGCATCCAGTGACAGGGAGGGGCATGGGGGAGACAGGACCTGTCTGCTGCAATAATTCTCCCAACAATCTCTTTTCAAACACCTGCCCAGACTCCTCTCCAGGGTCCCTCCCATAGCCAGTAAGCGCATGAAAAGATGCTCAACATTATTAGTGATTAGAAAAATGTAAATCAAAACCACAAGAGATATTATTTCCACCCACCTTGATGAATGTAATAAAAAAACATAATGACGTGTTGGCGAGAATGCAGAGAAACTAGAATCTTTATACACTGCTTGTGAAAATATAAAAAGGTGCAATCGCTTTTAAAAAATATATATTTTATTGATTTTTTTACAGAGAGGAAGGGAGAGGGAGAGTCAGAAAATCAATTCGAGAGAAACATTAATCAACTGCCTCCTGCACACCCCCTACTGGGGATGTGCCCACAACCAAGGTACATGCCCTTGACTGGAATCGAACCTGGGACCCTTGAGTCCGCAGGCCAACCTCTATCCACTGAGCCAAACCGGTTTTGGCATGTGCAATCGCTTTGATAACAGTTTAGCTACCTGGTTTTAGAGGCCAACTTAACAGCAAATGAGCCAGGGACTTCATGGAACCTGAGGAGGAAACTGTAGCTGGCAGGCAGGTCAAAGAGAGTGGCAGCCATCTGCTCTTTGGAGAGCTGGAGGTCCAAAGGGAAAGGAGGAAGCTTGGCCCGCTGGCTGAAGACACACGCGGTAAGCAGGTCGCCCACCAGTGTCAGAAGAAGGCAAGGAGCCATTCTCCTGAGGACTGTAACCATTCATTAGGAGGCACCACGAGACTGCCCTGTGAGCAAAGACTGATGGGCATGGGTTGTCAGGAGGCTGGGCCTACAGAGTGGCCTAAATTAAGTGAGAGAGAGAAAAAAATAACTCTTAAGAACTCTGCAGTGAATAGAAAACCATGGCAGCTGGGGACCACTTAGGAAAACAGGCAGAATATAAAAGAGGTTTCCTGGGGCCAGATGCACTTTAAGTTTCAAATTTTATTGTGTTTTTCATAAAGAAAATGACTACTTATATAACGCTGTTCCCATCTGGGAGAATGTAAGCAAACAGAACTGCTACGGAGGCAAAGAGGAGATCCTAAAGGGAAACGAAGAACCAGGCCCCAAGCCTCCAATGTGATTCCAGAACCATCCTCAGAGCAGGCCCAGCTCACAGGGCTGCCCTCAAGCCGTGGCCTTAGCTTCATCTCCTCCAGAACTCCTGAATGATGGCATTTCCCCTTTCTGTTCATGCCTCTTCCCTGATTCCTAGAAGTAAGGTCAAAGGCATGGCGAAGTCCTGGAAGGAATACAGGAATAGGCTGTTCCCAGGCCTGGAGAGACCCGGGAAAATGCCAACAGGCAGGAATGCCTCGCTAAGACCCAGGCAGGCAGTGCTACCCCGGCGGCCACTAAGAAAAGTCCGTGTGGGCTGGCAGGTCTGGGAGCTCTGCCAAGGGGAGGATGCACCTGTGGACAAGCGCATATGCTGAGAGGAAGGACAGCTTGTGGGGAAAGAGGGAGGGACGTTGGCGTCACCGTTCCGAGGGGCACGCTTGAGGAGGGTCAAAAAGGAATGAAGATGATGTCCTCATGCACTGATTTTCCAAACCAAGCCCTCCAGCTCATTTGGTTACTCCTTCCCCTTCTGGGCCTGGTCAGCAGGCCAGCTCTCCACCCAGAGTCAAGGAAGAAGGAGCGGAGAAAGGAAGCCATCCTGAGGTGCACTGAGCTCATCCCTCCAGAGCTGTGTCCTGCCTCCGCTTCCCTCTCTGACCAGGCTCCAAAATAATGCTCCACTCTGGCTCAGAATTGGGTTTTCTCTTTTCGTTCCTCTTTCACTCCGCCCTCCACGTTACTGTGCCCTCATTCTTCCCTTCCCCTGGGCTTGGGCTGGGCTGAGACTCCTGTGTCAGTGACGGGATGAAAGTGAGACACCTTCAGTCAAAGGGAGGAGCACGTCTGTCAGGCAGGGAGGCAATAAAATATAATTTAATATGATGTACGGTCTCCATATAAATAAACCTATCACACTAAGAGACTTTACGAGATGAGCTGTCCGGCCCTGAGACAGGAACCCTAAGAGGAAAGAAAGAACACGTGGCACCGAAGGAGCTGATGTAAGTCCCAGGGAAGAGGAACCTGGCCTGCATGCCGGCCCCCAACTGAAGCAAGTCAGTGAGTCTTCAGCTGTGCCCAACTGCAGAGCCCAAATAAATGGCTTCATCTCTCCAGACAGCATGACTGCATGGCTGACTCAGACTTAAGGATGACTTGGACACTCTGTCTGTGGCTACAAAAAGAGAAACAAACGTTCTTTGTCTTATTGCAAAAAAAAAAAAAAAAAAAAAAAAATCAAATGTCTCACTTACATCTATCTAATAGTATTCTAGATTTAAAAGCTGACCCTAGTCTACAACTACAGGGTTACTTAAAAATAGAAAAAAAAAACTGAGATGAAAACTAAATATTCAGTAACATATACACTAATAAAAGGGAAATATGTGAACTGACTGAACTTCCGAGATGCCCACCAGCCAATCAGGAGTGAGTACGCAAATTAACACAACAAAAATGGTAGGTTAATTTGCATACGCAGGCACAGAGAGGCTGGGCCGGGCAGGACGCCTGCTATGAGGGGCAGGGCAGGGAGCTACAGGAGCAGCGAACACTGAAGGCTCTGGCCGGAGCAAAGGCAGAAGGTGACAGCAGGAGCCAAGGCCTGGATCCAGGATGCCTGAGGAAAAACCTGTGCCGGCAGTCAGGGGAAGGAAGGCCTATTCTTGCACGAATCTTCGTGCATCGGGCCTCTAGTCAATTAAATAAGAGCATTTAATTCCTTGAGAAGTCTATCAACATAGAGCTAGGCTCATGAAATAATGCTAAGTGAAAAGCAGGATATACCAAATATAATGCTAAAGAACTATTTATACATAGAAAACACGAATTATTATAGTTGCTAGGGAAGAAGACTGGGTGGCTTTTTATGTCCATTTTAAAAATGGGAGCAAGGGAGGAGCTTCTAAAACTTAACATTGTCATAATTTTTCTTAAAAACTGGGATAGAATGATTTTTTTAAATGAATAAATCAAATCAGTCCAGCATTGTCTGGCTGCCTCCAATTACAGAGGAGTCTTCCATCAGCCGCAGATACATTAACCTTCCAAAGAACGGCTGCTTCTCATTTAGATGTTCTGTTAACTGCTTACCCATCACAAATCAGCCTATTATGTAACACTCAGTATGTAGGCCAATTAGGTCTCTGTAGATTTTATCAACTTGAGTAGGCATTTGTAAAGTCTAAACTACTGACCTCACAAAATTCCCCCCCAAAGCATTTCTCTGCACATGGACTTGGTTATATCAGATATCTAGTTATATCTTCTAAGCTATAGAATACGAGTGGTATCAAGAGAGGCAGCATAGAAAAAGAATGTGGACTCTGGACAGTCTTGGGTTCCAATCCTGACTTTACCACTTGGTAGCCATGTGACTTTGGCAAATTTATTTAACCTCTCTATCTATGCCCCAGTCTTTTTATCTGTAGAATAACAATTCACAGGGGTTGTTTTGAGGATTAGATGAACTTTAGAAAATGCTTGGAACAGTGCCTAGTATATATTAAATGCCTAATAAATAGTAATTATTACTTATCACAATTTCTTTCACGTTAGCACAGTGTGCCCCATGGACATACTGGGAGAAAATACTTGCACTGCATATATTTGGCAAAGGACTCCAATCGTATATAAAGAACTCCTGACTATTAATAATTTTTTAAAAACCCAATTAGAAACAATTGATATTGGAATGGTCAATAAGCATATTAAAAAGTGACTGGTATAATTAGTAATCGGTAATCAGAGAAACAAAAAAATGAGACAGTACTACACAGCCATCAGAATGGCTAAAAGGACAGGTGGAGGATATAGAGCAACTGCCAGTCATACTTTGCTGCTGAGAATGCACAACAGTGCACCCACTTAGGGAAATACTGCTTAACAATTTCTAACTTAGTTAAATGTATGTCTACCTTATGACCCAGTGATTCCATTACTACCCATTTACCCAAGAGAAATAAAAGTCTATGCCTACTTTTATAGGAATGCTCCGAGGAGCTTAAAAACGGTAAATAACTCAAATGTCCATCCGTTGTGCTATGTTTACACAATGTGCCAGGTGTACGGGTACAGGTAAAATAACATGAATAACTTAAAATCCGTTTCACAGAGAAACCCAGACACAAAAGAGTACGTCCTGTATAATTCCATTTATATTCTGTTCCAAAACACAAAGCCAATCTATGGCGAGGGAGGTCAGAATAGTGGTCACCTCTGGCAGGGAGGGAAGACCCCGTAATAATGCCTCGAAAGGGTCACCAGGGAATTTTCTCGGGCTCTTAATATTATTCTCGATCTTCATCTGGGTGGTGGCCACATAGGCAGCCAATGGTTCTTCTGTACTCAAGATTTGTGCACTTTACTGTATGAAAAATCACACTTTGTTTAAGGGGAGCACTATTAACTATCAATGGGAGAAACGACAGGCAGTTAACATCTCTGAAGCATCCTTCTGGGTGAAGGATGCCACACCACGTGCTGGAGGGGGCACAGGAACACACTCCTTCGCTGCTCCCTTATTGCTTGAGGTAAAATGCAGGAGCCAGGACACACACTCCTCTATTGAGTTCTCTGCTGGAATGCTGGGGCCTCGATCATCGTGCTTTCCGACCACGATTCTCACTAAATCCTTCGGACAACCCCGTGCGGTAAAACCACACACACTTTGGGAGCGAAGCTGGGGATCAAGAAGCTCTTTTCCGAGGATGAGGGAAACCACGCGTATCCATACATCCTGGTATTCCTCCACGTGGGACTTCGGGGTGCTCTGCCCCTCACAGACACTCGGTAAATGTCTGTCAATGGACAAAGGTTTGCCCGATTCCTGCACGTCCAAACTGCGGGAAGAAAAAGTTGCACCTGCACCAGGGGAACAGTCCTGCCAAAGAGCTGACGTCACAAACCGGCGCATGCGCCCTGACTCGCCCGGCCCGGCTAATACGCCCTCACAGGGCCCCCGCGCAAGCGCTCTCCCTTCGCCCCGCCCCGCCCGGCCACCGCGCATGCGCAAGCGAGTCGCCGGGCAACGTACCTGAGCAAAGCCAGAGGCGGACACTTTTTTCTTCTTACCCGCGCCGTATCCCCCGCCGCCGCCGCCGCCGTTGTGGGAAGGACTGGCTGGCCGCTTCTTGCTGTTCCGGGGTATCCCCGGAGCGGCCGTGGTGGCCACAATTGGAATCTGAGCCGCCATCCCTATGTCTGAGTCTTCTTCCCTTCCCCCCACCCCCCTTGCTTTCTCTGCAAAGGTCCTGGGACTTCCGGCTCGAGGTTACTTCCGTCTTAGAGCCGGAAACCCGGCCTGGACTCTTGGAACGCCCGCCGGCTTCTCGCCGCCGAATCCAAAAGGCGGATCTCGGCGCAGCCTATTCTGTTGGGACCGGAAGGTGCCTGCGCACAGCGTCCCAAAAAGGGCACGTGCTTGCAAATCCCTAGCGGTCAAGGAATAGGACATCTCGCCATCTTTATTTAAAAAACAAAACAAAACAGGGTTTTAAAAATAACCCTGTTCACTTTTCTAAAGTGAAGTCAGAAGATGGGTCCTTTTTGCCCCAGGGGCGTGGCTCAGTGATGGAGCCTGGACCTATGAACCAGGAGGTCACAGTGGATTCCCGGTCAGGGGCACATGCCTGAGTTGCAGGTTCATTCCCCGTGTGGGGCGTGCAATCATTCTCTCATCATTGATGTTTCTATTGTTCTCTCCCTCACCCTTCCTCATTCATATTATATGTAACAGTGAAAGTAGGGTCATTCTGGGTGGATTAGACAGCTACTAGCCTTCCCATTGATCATTGCCTTCTTGCAAGGAAGAAATTTGTGTGTCAATAAAGCCCAGATGGACCTGAAGGGTAGACTGGTTCTTAACCCTTAAGGGTCACAGCAGACCTCATTGAGCATGTAAGCTAGGCTACCCTCCCTCTTCCACCCCCCACCAAATGTATACAGGTATAGATAAAATATTACATATGATTTCAGGGGGTTGACAGATTTGCTAAAACCTATTTATGAATTTCAGTGAAACATACCCTCCCACTTGTTATTGATTACTTAAACTGTGTGGTTTATAATTGGTTGGTTAATGTCTTTTGGCTTCTGATAGAATGTAAGCTCTGTGAAGGCAAGGCTAGTTATGTTTCATTCATTTATCTTTCCCATCTCATAGTACATTGCAAGTCATCAGTACATTATGAATATTTCTAATGAAATAGTTAATGAACGAACCTCCTACAATAATTAGTTGAAGCTACTAATAAGGTGTTCTCATAAGGAAAGTAGCATATATGAATCTAGATATTTAATAGAAATGGACTGCAGAATGACTTGGGGGGGGGGGGAGAGAGAGAGGGAGAGAGAGAGAGAGAGAATAGTTAAGGAAAGTAACAGAAAAGTTACTGACATATTTTCTCTCCAAGCTCAGTCTCCACCCCTATCCTCACCCAGATCTAGGCTTCCTTATACCTTATCTCAGTGGCTATACAGACCAGCATCCAGTCATCTAAGCCAGAATCTGGCTTCTCGGGCCCACCCTCTCTAATAACCCACTCATCCCATTCTGGACTGCCAACCTTTCAGCTCACTCTTTCACAACTCCTGCCCTAGTGAATCCATCTCCTTTCACCTAGATGCTGCAATAGCCCCCCGATGGAAGTTTGGACCTCCATCTTTTCCTAATCCTCCCCAACCCTAAGCCATCCTTCACACTGCCAAAATGGGCTAAATCACAAATCTAATCATACCACTTACTTATATCCATCAGAGCCCTTTTACCTTGGCATAGAAGGTCCTTAATCACTGGGCTCTGCCCACTTCTCTTCCTTCATTCTCAACACTTCATTTCCTCTGCTCCAGCCAGGGACTAACTATTTCTGAGAATACACATTGTTCTCTTAACTCATCATATTTTTGTTTCCATTATTTCCTCTCCTAGGATCGCTTAGCTCCTTTACAGCAATTTAAGAGGCCAATGCCTTATCCATTAGGCAACTGGGTCCTTCGCAGCAATTTAGATGCTGCTTCCAATGAAAAGTTTTGGGCATCTGATGAATCCTCTTTCCCCTCTTTCTTTCCTATTCCCTCCCTGCATATGGCTCTGAGGGCACTGAGTATACAGGAGGCTCTGTTGAGCACCTTTCTATAATCCCTTAATACATGTTTATTGAGCTCAAACACCAATTCCCTACTTTTTAAAAAATATATATTTTATTGATTTTTGTACAGAGAGGAAAGGAGATAGTTAGAAACATCAATGAGAGAGTCATCGATCAGCTGCCTCTTGCACACCCCCTACTGGGGATATGCCCGCAACCAAGGTACATGCCCTGGATCGGAATCGAACCCGGGGCCCTTCAGTCCCCAAGCCGACGCTCTATCCATTGAGCCAAACCGGTCCCAGCCAGTTCCCTACTTTTAAGGAATCAAACACCATCCGGATTCCCATTGCTAACTTCAGTCCTGGTGCCGTCTGATCCCTTTCTTCCTGAAATCCTTCCGTTGGGATCTGGAACACCACCATCCTTTTCTTCTCCTTTTCCTTAACCAGTTGTCCTCTCTGTGATAGTCTTCTTCTTCTTCTTCTACCAAAGGGTTTCTTATCATACTACAGGTTAAAATATAGGTTATGTAGTCACATTCCCCTAGCAGATACACATTCTTTCAGTTTCCCAGGTGATTCTGCTGATCAGCCAGGTTTAGAACTTGGCTCTTCCTGTTCAGTTCTTGCACATTTAGAGTCCCTTGGTGCTTGGTTAAAGACCCTCTGTCCATTCCAATCCATACCCTTTCCAATCACTTCACCAACTCATGGACCTCAGGGACCATCTAAATGCACACCACTTTCAGATTTGCTTCTCTTATCTGGGTCTTCCTCCAAAGATCCATATCCAGATGTAAAATTCCCCACCCAGATATAAGCTCATGTTGACAGGTACCTCACACAGCCTGGCAAAAACAGAATTCTTCATCCTCCTTGCTTCTCTAAAACATGTTCCTCCTTCAGTATTTCCTATCTCTGTAAATGTCACTATTATCTACCAGTTATTCAAACAAAAGCCATGGGTATCATCCTTGACTCCTCCCCTTCATCCACCTGCATGCCATAACCCTATTCTAGCCATTATCATCGCTCTCTTGGACATTCACATCACCTTATTTGTCTCCACGTTTCTCCCTTTGGTCCCTCCAAAGCAGCCACCATGTGCAATCCCAGATGATGCTAATGTGCATATTCAGATCATGCCCTCTATTCGAAACCCCTCAGTGACTTCCTGTGATCCTAGACTGAAGTCCAATGTCCATACCATGGTTTCAAAGGCTTTCTGGAACCCATCCATCTCTCTAACCTTGCCTCTCGCCCAGCTCTTGCATTGCAGTTCGGTTTTCACTTTTATCACTTCCGCCAACCAGCTGTGCTCCCTCTTTCCTCAGGGCCTTGACACAGGGCTCCTCCTGTGTGAAAACTGCTTTTCTCCCAAGGCCACCCACTCTGGTCTCATTTACTTCCACTTGCCCTTCCTAACCTTGGCTACCATGCTGTTTTTCAGCCTTCACTATCCCTCTGGTTTTGTTAAAACCCCTTGTTCCCTGTTCCCATTAGTCTCAGTCTCCAGTACCATCTGTCTTTCCTGTTACATGTCACGCCCTGAGGATGGAGACAAGGACAAACAAAACAGATCACGCCCTGCTCTCAGGGAGTTCCCAGGACAGCAAGAGAAGACAGAAATTAGGTTTGTCTTCCCAGCTGAATATAAACTCCTTGTGGGTAGTTGCCAGAGTCATTAAGGACTGAGTGGAGGAGCACCCACAGATGACAGCAGTAAGGAGAGAGAAATGCAGGACATCCGCTCAAGGGAGCAAAAGCTTTGGGCTTGGTAGAAACCTGTTCCACATCCACCTTGGCAGCGCCAGTCACTGCACAGTCCTGGCACATGCCAAGGCGGCATGTGTAACTCACACGTTTCCATGTCTATTGGTGAAGCTAAATTAACGCTGAGGATCCATACTCTGCTGGCTAATGTGTTGAGGCGGGACCTATGCCTTCCCTGAATCCCGTCCCCAGTTACTCCTGAGACCTTGTCTCGGGCATGTCTCACCTTGGCCGTACTTCCTCTCTGGCCTCCGCGGCGGTGCCTGCTGCTCCTGTGTCCCTCACCTAACGCCACACTTCCCTTGGCAAACGCTGCTGATGCCCTCACTGGGGCTTGCCAATTAAGCAGCCTCAGCTAGTCTTGATCCCAGTTAAGATTTAATGCTAAGGAAAGAATAATACGCTTGTTAAGTTATCTCGTATCATCTGAGGCATAACGCACCTATTGTATTGTCTCTCAAGCATCTCAGGAAACACTGTGGATATCTGGGATCATGCTGCTCCTGGGTGGAAGACACACTCTCTGTCAATCTTCTGATAACTTGCCTAAAGCATGATAGTAATTGCTCACTTTGCAATCAGCTGGTATAGAACTCGTGGATGCTATGAAGAAATCTAGAAGCTGCAATAAAGACCCTCACAATTCCCCACTCACAGCAACTGCAAGAGGCAGCAGGTGTGCATGTCTTGAACTAGGGAGACATGTGGCCCAAAACAAGTCCACTGCAGTGAGAAGCTGATGGAGCCCCTAGGACAGTGGTCAGCAAACTCATTAGTTAACAGAGCCAAATATCAACAGTACAACAATTGAAATTTCTTTAGAGAGCCAAATTTTTAAAACTTAAACTTCTTCTAATGCCACTTCTTCAAAATAGAATTTCCCAGGCCATGGTATTTTGTGAAAGAGCCACATTCAAGGCACCAAAGAGTTGCATGTGGCTCACGAGCCATGGTTTGCTGACCACTGGTCTAGGAGATCATTACATCCTCTCTGAGAGCAGCACATGCCCTGGAGTGTATGGAGGGGCTAACCCCTCCTGGTTCTTTAGGTATCATTTCACAGGAATCTTCTCTGTTCTCTGTTCCCACAGACAGCCCAGTGAAATGTCCCTACAAGGAGGTGCTCACAGCAGCCTGTTTCTTCCATCCCAGATCTTCCTACACCACGTGGTAAGTACCTGTGGATGGTAGGCTCATTTGGGCAGGAACCGATTCTTTGTCATAGTTTTGGGGGCATTTCAGGCACTCATTGATGATCTGCTGAGTGCCTCGTTATTTAAACAATCCTTGTCTGAAAGGAGAGAGCTTGGGCCAGTGGGGGCTGGCCTGGG